TTTTTTATTTATTTTCTATGAATTTTTTAAGTCTGAAATTTTCCCCCTGTGGGGAAAATTTCAGACTTGATCCGAAAATTTGACTGTTTTACTTTATGAAATCTCTAAAGTTTTAAATTTACTTAAAGAATGTTTATTTGCTTTAAATCAAAATTCTAATTTCATGAATGCAAAAACGTCAACTCAAATTACAATTTTAGAAATTGACAGTAAAATAAGTTGTTATAATGTACATAATAAGTCTAATGAAAATGATGAAGTTTTAAAAATGTTTAACGAGGTTAAAGTAAAATTAGAAGAATTTAATAATAATCTTGATTTTAATGACTCTATGAAGAATTAATTGATTAGTTAATAAATAATTCTTAAAACTGTTTTCTGGTTTTAATGTTTTGTTTAAAAGCAAAATTTGCTGAAAATAATAATTTTTTATCATTATTTAAGCATCTTATGTAAACCAGTGTTTATTTACCCATTTCTTTTTTATGGTTTTTAAATAATATTACTAAGAAATACCATTTTTAGTTGGTTATAGAGACACTAAAAGAATAAAGTTGAACAAACTTTCTTGTTTTTTATTTAATAGATAATTCTCATAATAAAAAAGAAAAAAGGCCTTTAATTTTTATTTAAAAAATAAATCTTTTATCAAAAATAATTTATATATACTGCCGTAACTACTGTTACTGCTGTGAAGAAAATGTACCATAACCCGTAGGGTTATTGCTGTTGAATGAAAACATTTAAATTTCGGGGTAAAGGATTTATTATTTCTATTTATAGCTTATTTGTTTACAAAAAAAATATTAATATTAATATTTCAATATTGAAGATAATTATTAATAAATAAATTCTTTTAAATATATATTTCTTTTAAATTTTAATATTGTCACAATGTGATGTGACAAAATGGATGTTATTTTTCGGGTTAGTAATTTATTTGATCCTTAAATATTAATATTGTTAGAAATAAATAAAATTAATAAATATTTCAATATCAATAAAATCAATTTACAAAAATTACTTACTTGATCTAAGCAAAAGGTTTTTAATCTTTGTCATGTCACAACATGACATATATTTTCTCAATGAAATATTTTTTAATATATTTTTAAAATTATGAATCTTTGATATAGCAGTGTTTTAGAACCGGTTTTACGTAGGCTAACTGAAAATTTGATAAATTTTTTTAAAGCAAGGGTGTATTTAAGAGGTACGTGAACTACATATCTTGTCAATAAGATATGTAAACCAGTCCATACTCTAGAAATAGTGATGAAATGGTATTTAGGTGTATTAACCACAGTAAATACATTTCTATTCACACTGAATCGCTATTACCGATTTTAATCTACCTCCGAGTAGCATACTACAGATATGTTATAAATGATTAAACAACTAAACTCAAGTACAGATAGGGTCAGAGGTGAACGTTGGAAGAAAAGTAATTAAGAAAATAATTTATCTTCATCAAAGGCAGTATTTAAAACATACCACTGAAAATCCACAACGCTTCGGAGAAGATGGTGTGATTGTGTAAATAGATGAAAGTCTGTATCGACACAAATAAAAATACTATCATGGCAAAGAAACTAGAAAGAGAGATATGGGTGTTTGGTTTGGCAGATGTATCATTCACCCCGGTTAAAATCTTATTGCGTGTTATTCTTAATAGAACTGCCTCCACGCTTTTACCAATAATAGAGGAAGTTTGTTTCCTGGGAAGTGTAATACATTCTGATGAATGACGTACTTATACACGCATTGGTAATAGTAATTTCCGATTTTCTCATTTTACTGTCAATCAAAGTGAAAACTTTGTGAATCACCAAATTGGTGTTCACACTCAGAACATTGAAAGTGTATGGAATAAATGCAAGTATGTTCTAAAAATACATAAAGATATTGTGGAATAAAAATTAATTTATTGCTAAAAGAACTAGTTTGGAAAAATAATCTTGGGTTTAATAAGAATTTTGAAGAATTGTTTATATTATTAAGATTTTAATAAATTTGGTTTTGTTCATTTTTCAGGGGAAAAAAGAACTTGTTTTTGTTTTGGGGAAAAAGGGATTTGATCAAAAACTAAATAATAACAATTATCTAAATGTAAAATTCTATTTAATGTTTTAAAAATATATAAAATAAATTCAAAAAAGATAATTATAAATAGAATTTTAATGAGTTTTTAAAAATTTGATAAAATTATATAAAGGATTTTTTAAGTTTTAATTAGATTTTTAAGAAAAGTTTTTTATTATAAAAGAATAGAAGAGATATATATTGTTATTGCCATAGACAGGATTAGAATAACCTAATTTATTTAACCTATCAACACTTTTAGATTTATCATAATTCATTAATTTATATACTTCGTTATTATCATCTTCAATCATCTTAATTTCGATGGGTAATAAAATTTCTTTGTTTAAATATTACCTTCTCTACAAATTTTTAATAATCTATTTAAGGTAAGTAAAATAAAATTAGATTTCTAAAAATAAACTTTTAAAAGATAGAATTATCATTATTACTATAACAGTTATATTAAGATATTTAATCTTTTTAATATGTTATATCGACTTCGATGTGATATATTATATACATGGAATATTAGATTCTTAAATATTAAATAAAATTTATAAATGTACTTTGTAAAAAAATATGATTTTAAAAATAGTATTTAAAATACTAAAAATTTAAACCAATAAATTTAAGTTTATTTTTAAAAAAGAAGCTTAAACTTAAAAAATTTTTCTAAGAAAAAATTAATTTAACCCTTATAATTATGATAAATTTAATACTTTTCATATTTGGATTAAGTAAACACTTTAATCCTCTTCTTGGTGCAAGACATGTATACATGACTGATCATGATAGTTTTCCAGAGGATTCAAATACATGTTCTGATAATACTCAAAGTATAAGTATTTCATTGGCTCAAAGTCATGTTAGAGAATTAAATAAATTAAATGCTAGGGTTTTAATAGAAAAAACTACACTAAGCTACAGGTATGAGTTATTAAATAAAATAAAAACTTTACCTGATGTGTATGTAGAAGAGGTATTAAATACTGTTATTCATTTAAATTCTTTTTTAAGAACTATGAATGACAATTTGATTAAAGAAAAGTCAAATTTTGAATTAGAAAGAGAGAATACATCAGAATACAGAAATTGTGATATACCTTCCTTTCTAAGTGAATACTTTCAATATTCTGAAAGTATGAATCCTAATTCAAACAATTCTACATTAATATGTAACTTTAATAAGAATCATTTCTCAGATTTAATTTTAAAAAACGATTTAAGAAATGTTATTTCTAGCCTTTTTGAAGATCATAAAAATTTGATGGTTTTTATTAGTGAGAATCGTAATAAATATGAATGTATTTTAAATTTAATTCAAGGATACAAAAAAATTATTAAAGGATTGTATAATGTAAAAGTATTGGATTCAATTTGTATATTTCGTAATTTTAAAGAGTACATTTGTTCTATTTTTAGTTTTAAGAAATCTGAAATTGTGGATATGGATTTAGTTAGAGCAACAATATTGTTTTTAAATCATGAAAATTTAGAAGAACAGGAGAGAAAAGATTTAAACTATGAGATAGAGAAGATATTAAAATGTTGGGATTATCTTTTCTATATGATAAAGGATATTGAAGTTATGATAAATTTAATTATTAGTGATAAGAAACACTTAAAATTTAAAACCACGAAAGTGGAAATAAGTGATGAATTTGAAATTATTGATAATTAAATTCGTTTTATTAATAATTTTATTTTATTAGAAAACTTATATTTTATTTAAAAATTATCTTCTATATTTTAAAAATATTCATTCTATTTTTATTACAAATTCTTAAAAACAATTCAATTATTTTAATTGATATCTGTCAAATACATCAAAACATTTTTTATTCAATTAATTAAAAATATCTATTATTATCTAAATCAATCTCTTTTAGAGGTTTATATTTTATTTAATTTGACAGATGTTTTTGATTTATTAATTAATACTTAAATAAATGTTTTTTATTAAATGAATAAATAAAAATAAGACTCTAATATATATTTAAAAATAGTGACACATTCTGATGAATGATTAAAATAATTAAACATAAAATGGGTTTATTTAATAAATTTTCTTAAATACTATAATATTACGTAATGTGAAATATTAATGACTGATTATATTAATAATTTACTTATTATTAAAAATATGATAGTACTAAAATAAGTATCCTAATATATAAAAAGATAGTTGTGATTATACAACAAATAGTTTTATTCTTTTTTACTAAATTGATAAATTAATATTTGAACTATAAAAGAAAAAAAATAATTAACCCCTGTAAACATGAATATACAATTATTTCACTGTATTGGATTTAGTAAGTATATTAATACATTTATGTGGATCAAACATGTGCAAATGACTACTCCTGAATTATTACCAATTATAACAGATAAAGAAATAGCAAACTAAATTAAAGTTGATTATATTTACAATGAAGTTCTTAGTAAAGATGAGATAGAGAAAATTAAAAAAAAACTTCCTGAAAACTTTAAAGAAGATTTTATCTCTAACTTTGAGCAATTACGTGCATTTGAAGTATCTAGAGAGATTAATTTGTTTGAAAATTTATTTTTAAATTACTTTCTTAAAATTATTGTTGAAAAAGAAATAAGATTAAAAGATTTACTAAATGATTTAAATATGATTGTGAGCACTTCATATACAGATAGAGTGAAATTTATCAATGATAATTCTTCGATAAACGGTCAAAATTTGTCTTGTTCAAACTTTTCAGGAATGTTATTAAAAGATTATTATTATATATATTATAAATCATTTGATATTATATTGTTAAAATATAAATTTAGAAATAGAAAAAATGAAGATTATTATAATATAACTAAAGAAATTCATGAATATATAATGAAGATTTTAAAAAACAAGCCAAGTGATTATTTTATGAAACAATTTTCTGAGATAGAAATTTTTAAAGAGATATTAAGGTCTGAAGTACCAAGATTGTCAGATTTAAACCTTTGTAATTATAACATTATTGATATGATTATAAAAGTTTTTGATTTAGATATTTTTCAAAAATATGAGGATAAGATTATCTCTTTTAATCCTTGGTATGATTTTAATTGGTTGTTTAACAGACTCTTACAAGAATTTGCTGAATTATAGTAAATATACTATAAATGCAGTATTTAATTATATAAATCGACTCAAATAATACAAATTGTATTTGTATATTTATATAATAAATACTTTCGTTAATAACTTGTTGATGTTTTGTTTTTTAATTGATTTAACATAGTTTTATAGATATTTCTAAATATAAAATTTTTAGCTTATAAAGAATAATATTTTTAATTAAGTCTAAGAAGTTATTAAAAAAATGGATTAAGTACAAAAACAAAATAAAAAAAACTTTCAAAATATTTTTTAAAAAGTTTTTAAACCCATGATTCATTAGTTTAGTATATAATAGAACCCTTAATTAATTAATCTGTATAAGACCTAATAGAATTTCTACGCATTAAAGACATACTCAAAAGGTATGTAAAATGTGTAACATGTCTTCTAGACATGAAAACGAAGCCATACATTAAAAACAGTGATGATGTGGCGTTCAGATGTTGTAATAGAATTTGAAATAGCTTTTCTAAGTATGTTTTAATATACACCAAGTCACTACTATCAGGCTTCACTGTACCTCTGAGAGACTTTTTATTAGTGGATTGTAAATGGTTTAATAACCATACTCATGTACAGATAGGTACTGAGGTGAATATTGGAAAAAAAAGACAATTATTAAAATTATTGATTTACTTCGTAATCAATGTTTTAAATATGAAACTAAGAATCAAATAAACCTTAGAGGGGGTGATATGATTGTCCAAATAGACGAAAGTTTATTTAACATAAACAAAAATACCATCGAGGTAATAACCAACAAGCAAGATTTGGGTATTTGGACTAGCTGGTTGTTCATTTACTCTAGCAAAAATCTCATTGCATGTTGTTCCTAACAGAACTGCCAATACTCTACTACCAATAATAGAATGTGTTTGTGCCTCAAGAACAATAATCCACAGTTATCAGTAGAAAGCATATTTAGGCATAAGTAGTAAATTAAGATTTGCGCATTTCACTGTTAATCATAGTGAAGGGTTTGTAAATTACAATAACGATCTTCATACTCAGAACATTGAAAGTGTGTGGAACAATTGCAAATATGCTACTAAAATGTATAAAAGAATTGTAGAATGTAAACTTAGACTAATTTTATCTGAATTAATTTTGAAAAATAATTTAGGACTAAATAAAACATTGATGATTTATTGAGATTATTGAAATTTGATTAAATTTAGTTCTTTTATTTTATTTTTTATTTTCAAATTATTTTTTTCACTTGTTTTTGTTGTGGAAAAATTTTTACATTTGATCAAAAAAAAACAAACTAAAAATGCATATAAATGCTTTTTTCTTTAATATTGCATTCTACTTTCCTTAAATAAAAAAATACACATTATAGTATAAATTCTAAAATTGTAATTTGATTAAATTTTTTGATTATTTTTTTATCAATTTTTTGTAAATTGTACAAAGTAATTTGCTTGGATGATATTTTTAAAAAACTTTAAATCTTATATTATTTTTTTAATACTTTAATAAAAATAGACAACTTATAGTAAAGTATTAGAATATTTATGGTAATTACGTTCAAATCCTAGTAATGTTTTTTTATAATTAAAAATATTATCAATGAAAAAGTTTATTGATATTTTTCAAATAATTATATTTTAATGGTTGAATTTTTATATTGTGGTTTTACTCTTAAAATTTACAAGATGTTTTTAATTTTTATTTAAACAAAATTAGAAATAAAACACTATGATTAACAGAGATGTTTTATAAGTAATTTTATCAAATTTACTAGATAATTATACCTACTTTTTAATAGAATTTTATTGAATCGTCTGTGATGAAATAATTTGTTTCTTTTTACCAACAAACTATACAATCAATAAAAATTAAAATTTGCATTAATTTTTTACGACTCACAATAACAATAAGTATTTCAATAAGCATTCAATCATAATAATTTAAGTAACAAGAACAGAAGCAACATTCGTTACGGAGGTTATAATATCATATTTTTTTAATTATCTCTTTTCTTTTAAAAATCTACCAGTATATAGATGTTTAAAAAGCATACCGTACTTCATATTTAATTAATTATTGATATTACTAAAAATCAATTAATTGTCTTTTAAATGCAAATTTTCATTTAAATCTCAATAATTAACAATAAAGTTAAACAACTATTTACATACTATCTTCTAAAATAAAGATTTGATCAGGAAATCTTAACATTATATTTTTTTTAATAATCAAAGAATTTTTAACCTTAAATATAAATATTCAACTATTTTACTTACTAAGTTTTAATAAGCCTATTGACAATTTTATATTAGTAAACATATATAAATGACAATTTAAAGTAATTCACAGAGTGAAGAAGATAAGATTGAAGATAAACTAAATGATTATAACGTTGAATTTATAAATTTAACTAAGAAGAAGTTTAAACACTTAAAGGATATTTTCCTAGATGTTTGAAAAATATATTATAAATAAGTTTAAAGAAAAATATGAAGTTAAAATGAAAAATGAAATAAGTTTATTTGAAAAAAAATATTCAAATTTTTTTTAGAATCTTAAAGAAAAAATTTTTCAATCTGAAAGACCTTAAAAATATTTTTAAAAAGATTTCAAGTAATAAAAAAAACTATTTACTTTATAGGTACTCCATCAATTATAGTGTATCATAAAAATCAATATTTTTAAAAGATTAGTATTATTGTTTTTGAATCATTGAAAGCAATATTAGTAAAATACATATTTAATAACAAAAAGACAAACGAATATTTTTCTTTTAACAAGAGAATTTGTAAGTTTTTAAATCAAGATTTAAAAAATATCATTTGATGGTTTTATTAATAGCGTTTGTGTAAGATTTTATACTGAAGCAATAATTAACTCTAAAATAACTAAGTTATCAAAGTTAAACATAAGTAATTATAAACTTATTCAAATGATAAAAAAAATTCTGAGTTTATATAGAATATAAAAAAACATATTGTTTTTAATTCTTGTTTTAATTATGAATGGATTATAATTTATCTTTGTATAGAAATTAATAGATGTAATTTGATGTTAGGAATCAATAAATTAAATTAGTGAAAAATACTCACTAATAATATTTTTAAGTAAAAAGCAAAGGCTATTAAAAATACATTTTAAACTTTTAAAAAACAGTTAAAATCATCAGTTAAAAACGTTTTTACTTTTATTATATTTTTTTTATTAAATAATTTTTATCAAACTAATTAAAGAATTATAGTTAACATTCACGGATAATAACTTAATGAGTTCTCAGAGACTTATTTACCAATATATACTGAATTCAGAAGACTTACTCTGAATATAACATTATTATTATATTCATTTATAAAATATAAAATCACTCTTAAAAAAAGCTAATACTCTTAAAATTATTTCACGATAAAATTTGTAAAAAATTCTTATGCTAGATGACAAGCAAATAAGAAAATATAGAGATGAAGTGGGATTATCAGAAGAGAAAAACACAGAAATACTTGAAAATTTAGCAAAAGAACTTAGTAAATTAGAAAGAATAACAGTAAATGAGTTATTTGGTGATCTATTATTAACCTTGATACTTGAAGATTTTGATAATACAATACTTTTTATACAAAACAATGAGAATAAGTTGGTATTTGATAAATCATTTGTAACGTTTCTACTAACATCTAATTACTATGAACATAGGAAGTCATATTTAAGTTTAGATTGTAGTAGAAGTGATATTTTACAATATAAAACAAACCTTAAGTTGTTAGTTCGAGACCCAGTTATTGATGTAGTTAAATTAGCAGTTGAACAGATATGTTTATTTGTTAGTGAGTTTTATAAAGAAGCTCTTTTAGAAATTGCACTTGATTTGTACAACAATCTATTTGTATCAATCAAAGTCTTATCAGTTGATATTTTATTATTAACAGACACACCCGAATATTTACTGGATGAGTTATTAACTAATTATAATTGGCGAGTTAGGTATTATGTTGCTCAAAATGTGATAAGGTTTAATGATAAACTACAAGATCATATATTTTATAATTTAAAAGATGATAGTATTGAAGATGTGAGAATAATACTTGCAAAAAATTCATGTACTTTAAATACACTTTACTTTCTGGATGATAGTTCTGAAATAGTAAGAGGATCATATCTTTATAATATTATTTCAATTTTGAATGATGATTTGATTTTAGATGTTTGTTTAAAAGATAAAAGCTGGTTAGTAAGAAAAAATTTTTTATACTTAAAAGGTGAGCGTTTTATAAAATACACTTTACCAATGCTCAAGTCAATACGAACCGTAGATATACATTGGCGAGAACGAGTAGAGATATTTAAATTATTAGAATTTGTTATTAATGATAGATCAGTTGCCAAGTGTTTATTAAAACCGTTTTTAAAAGGACTTAAAGAAAACTTTGCACAAATTAGAGAAAAAGCAGGGAGAAATTTAATAAAAATAGCAAATAATTTCCCACAGCTTTTTGAAAAATACTTTGAAAATATTTTAGAAATTGTCAATCATGATTGTTATTCTGTAAGAATATCAGTAATACCTTTAATATGGGCACTTTCTAAAACTTATTCAGATTTTGACGTAATTAAAGAAAAACTTATGAACGATTCAATAGAGAATGTTAGATTAGCAGCAATAGAATTTGAAAAACATGGAGAGTTTAGGCATTTAAACTTTTTTTATAAATCAAATGATAAAGAAAATATTTTTAAATAGTTAATTCAATAAATTTTACAAACTTTATTCATTTAATGGAAATGATTTAAATACATTTACTTTTAGTTTTGTTAAATCATTTACAAAATTAATAAAGTCACTCAATTTTAGATTGTTAATTATCTTAATTGTTTCTAATTCTTGATTGATATTCTCATCTAACTGATATTTATTATGAACAAAACGATGTAATACTGTTAAATTATCAAAAGGTTTTGTTATTTCAATAATGAAACCCTTTTTAAACTCCTCAAAATCTTTATTACTTAACTCTTTAATGTATTTTTGAGATTCTACAATAAAATCATTAATCCTATTAATCAAGAAATCACCATCTTTTTCACTTTGAACAACAAAACAAACAAACCTTTTAGATCTTATTAATCTTATTGTATTAAAAACGATGTAACCTAATGCTTCTTTAGTTCTTAAACTATCAAAGAATAATTCATTAATAACATGAGAATAAAAAAATCCTAATTGATAATTTTCACCAAGATTGATCATATAATTAACTGAGTTATTAAACTTATCTATTACTGGATAATTAACTACTGACTCTACTTCATTGTTAATTATATTGCGTTCTAATGGAATACTTTCAATACCTTTCAAAAAGTCAAAAACTTTTTGATAATCAAAATTTCCAACACTAAATAAATCAATTGAATAATCCACCTTCCTCAATATAGGCAGATCAGATAATTTCATATTCTTAACCATCTCTAAATACTCTTCATAAGATTTTAATCCCTTAATAAATGACTGATTAAATACATCAAAAGATTTTTTATAAGGTGACACCTTAATCTTACTTTCATATTCACCAATTATTTTAGATTTAAATACCGGAAACAGTATTTTAATTTCCTCATCATTTATTTTAGAAAGACAAGTAAAATAATCTAAGGCTTTCTTTAGAATAGTTAAAGTTCTCATTGAATTAAATCCTTTAACACCAATTTCAAGTCCTGAAGTACTGGTTGTAATTGAAAAAGATGTTCTTGAATTTTCTATTTCATCAAAATTAGTTTCTTCAAAGTAATTAAAAACTATCAAAGCACAAACTTCATAAAACGGTAAATTATTGAAATAATCATCACTAATTAAACTTAAAGTAAAAATATTTGATGGGTCTTTAAATGATTTATCAAAACAATAAATTAAATTCTTTGATCCCATATTAATTTTCTTATAATAATAATCTCTGTACTTTACAAATTCATCATTACATTTTATACTTTCAATTAATGAAAAGTTTTTTAACGGTAATGAAATTAAATTTCTTGACAAATCAACATTTCTATCATTTAGACTTAATTTATCAATGATTTTATACTCAACAGAATAATATTTATCTTTGTTAGTAAAAGGTCCTTCTTGAGTGTACAAAAGTACAATCCACTTAGAATAATCTTTAAAACAGTTTAAGTAACTATCAATAATCTTCATATCATATTTAGTAGTGATATAAAAATTTGATAGTAAATGTTTAAATGGTACATCTTTTAAATGCATTGCTAATTCTCTTGTTAACTGCAACTGATCTTTATCATCTAAATATTCAAAATCTAAGTCTAATCTTGCCTTTACCACATCATAATATTCTCTAGTAATGTTCACTTCTCTAATAGAATCATATAAAATATTAAGAACCTTTTCATGCTGTTTAATACCTTCATCAGTAAGTCCTATTTCTATTTCAATTAAATCATACTCCTCGCATGTATTATTGCTAACATCAACAAATGTACCCAATCCAGCTTTAACTAACTTAGAAATTAAAGACCCTTTAGAATTTTTTTCTAATTCATAACAAATAATTCCAAAGGGATTTTCCTCAATGAAATTAAAAGATGAAGGAGTTGTAAAATGAACAATTAAAGATTTTTTATCTTCTAATGGTTTAACCTTAATAATTGATGATTGAAATTCTTCCTTTAAAAAATAATCATACCTTCTAATAGGTATTCTATCTATGTTATCATTAACCGATACTTGATTAAAAACTTCCACTCTTTTTCTTAATTCTTCGATTGATAATGAATTACTCAAAACAACTGCACACTTGTTTGAACTGTAATACTTCATAAAAAACTTCTTCATTTCTTTATAAATACCTTCTTTTTGTAATGTTTCTAAATTACCACAATTAAAATTCTTAAAAGGGTGATCATCTTGAATAAATTCTTTCAAAACAGCTTCGTGTCTGAAAACATGTGAATTTAAAGTATTTAAATACTCACTGTTTACTGCATTAACTTCTCTATTAATTCCATTTTCATTAAACAAAGGGCTTATAAAGAATGATGAGAAAACATCAATAAGGTGATCAAACATATCTTTATGAATATCACAGAAATACACAGTCTTTTGATCACTTGTAAAAGCGTTATATCTACCACCATACTTATTGACAATTTCATTAAAGTAGTTCTCTGAAGGAAACTTCTTTGTTCCCATAAATAACATGTGTTCTAGAAAGTGTGCCAATCCTTTGAATTTAGGATCCTCATTAAAAGATCCAACATTCATAGATACTGAAATACACCCTCTTTTAAACCTCTTGTTACTTACTAATAATACTTCTACCCCATTTGATATTGTAAGTTTTTCATACTCACTGTTATCTAATCTGCTCTTTATTATTTCTGACATTAATTATGGGTTATAAAAATTATTTATTAAAAGTTTAATTTATTTTCTTAACTAACTAATAATTTTATTATTAGTTAGTTTTTATTTTTTATTTAAGTTTATAAATTTTCTTCTTTGATTTTAAATAAATTAGTTCAGATTTAATTGGTAGAAAGATAAATAATATTAATAAAAAAATAATTTGCTTTTGTAAATAACAACTCTAATTATTAATTAAAAAGTTTTAATTATAAACTATTAATTTACACTTTCATATTAAAATTTAAAGTTTATTTAATTCTTCTTCTAAACTCTTCCTCAAAATTTCTAAACCATTTTTAACAACCTTAATCTTATTTTTAATAAAATAATAATTATACGAACAACAAGTTTAATTTAAATTAACAGAAGATTGAAATATTTCTGTAATATAAAGATTGTTATATTCTTTTAGTTTTTCAGAAATATTTTTTCTGTTATATCTTGATTGATTTTTTAATTTTTTAAAGTAATTAATTGAAGTTGTTTTAAAACACCAAAAACAATTATTTTCTAAAATATTAATTAAATTATCAATTGTAATATTAATATTAACATTATTGTTTTTTATTTGATTAATTAACTTCTTAAGTTTAAAATAATATCTTATAAAATCTAATGAGTTGTTTAATAACTGAATAAACTCACTTAATATAGATATTTCAGTAGAAATATTTTTTCTTTTATGTTTTACATGTACCAAAGAGGTTATAATTTCAACTAAAATATCTTTGTAATAAATCATAAATGTTTTCATTTTGATCTTAAATGAATTGGATTTACAATTAAAATTTTTTAAAACATCTTCATCTGTTTCATTATAACATTCTTGGTATTTTACATTTTTAAACATAAACTTTTTAATAAATGTTTTTTCAATGATATCTTTTTTTCTATTCCAATTATTCCATTTTTTATCACAAGAATTTAAAATTTTTTGATAATCATTTGATTTAGAACTATCAAATCCAAACTTTTCTTTATAGTTATTGTTTGAATTTTGACTATTAAAAGTTTCTTTTGTTTTTCTATTCCTAAATTTATAAGATGATACAATAGGATTTGAATCCAATTTTAATTTTTTATTATTTTTAAAATTTTCTTCAACTTTTCTTTTTTTATTATCAACTTTTCTCTTTTTATTAACTTTATTGTTATCAATTTCATTATTATAAACCTTTCTCTTTTTATTATCTACTTTGTTATTACCAGCTTTATCATCATTATCAACTTTGTTATTATCAACTTTATCATCATTATCAACTCTGTTATTATCAACTTTATCATTATTATCAACTTTGTTATTACCAACTTTATCATCATTATCAACTTTGTTATTAACAACTTTATCATCATTAACAACTTTGTTATTACCAGCTTTATCATCATTATCAACTCTGTTATTATCAACTTTATCATTATTATCAACTTTGTTATTACCAACTTTATCATCATTATCAACTTTGTTATTATCAACTTTATCATTATTATCAACTTTGTTATTATCAACTTTATCATTATTATCAACTTTGTTATTACCAACTTTATCATCATTATCAACTTTGTTATTATCAACTTTATCATCATTATCAACCCTGTTATTATCAACCCTGTTATTATCAACTTTGTTATTATCAACTTTATCATCATTATCAACTTTGTTATTACCAGCTTTATCATCATTATCAACTTTGTTATTAC